TGTATATAGTTGTCACATTAATTATAAATCATCAAATACAAAGTAATGGGTCCAATAAATCTTCACCGCTCGCGTGCCATCTTGTCAAATATTAAAATCAACATATCAACGTGTTTAAAGTCAAATTTTTTAACTTAAATGTATTTGGCAAAATTAATAGATAAATTATTTGAAAATTAAAAAATTAGTTAAAATTTATATTTAATACAAACACTACTAAAAAATTGTAAGCTACAAAAATAAACATTTTTAAATTAAGTCAATTTTATTTAGTTACCCAATACCTAGTTGTCACCTACATGACCCACTAATTCTAAAACAACTATTAATTGTGATGCATAAAAGAAGAGGTTGTGTGCTACCTGGGGTCAAGCCGGAACAAGGAGAAAATTCAAGCACTAAATGTCTACCTTCAATTAGTGAGTAGCCGAAAATGACAAATGGTGGCATAATAGAAAGAGGCAAGGTTTCTCCCCTTTTTGAATTAGGTTCATACCACATCATTGTCTAATTAAGTTTTTGAAAGCTTCAAAAAAAAGCAATGTAGTTTAAATATAGAGCGCCATGTTGTGTATAAATAAGCAAAGCTTTTGCATAGGGTTCCACGTGGTCGGTCTTTTTCAGGGTCATCTTCCCCTATTTTGATGGGTTCTCGTGGGACATAATATCACTGATCCTCAGTGTTGACACCCATCACTTCCCCATTTTATACCTAACCTTTTTTTAACCCTTTTTCTTCATTCTATTGTGCTTTCCTCCAACAGATTCCCCCTCCTAAAAGCATCTATGTTTCATGTCATTCACATTTTCAAGTAGCTCGTTTGTATAATTGTATTTGATGATTATTAGCTTGCTCTTTTTCGTTATCTCTTTCCTTCTTCCATTTCAATTTGTATCATTCTTTCTCAAAATACCATGAAAAGTTATTGTATTTATATTTGTTTTGAATTTCATTATTCAAATCACTCTAAATCAATATTATATGTGATATTATATATCATTATTTTTCATATATATACATAGGAGTGGGAGACATGGATGTTAAGAAACAAGCTCTCAACTTCTCTTTAATACTTTTAATTTTGTTTTTCTAGACTTTATATGGCACCCACTAATACTCTTTATTAAGTATTTAATTAAAGAAATGGACTATTTTAAAGTAAGAAAAGTATACTTTAAAATATTCTAATAATTGTTAATTAAAAATTTAATAATTAAGACAATAGCTAAATCAAATTTTGTTATACATATATTTGATTTTTATTATAATTTGTTATTATTAATTATTCTAATCAATGACTATAAGTGTATTTTATACGACTTGAATCAATTTATTTTAAATCTTACTTATAAAATATTAAAATTTACAAAATTTAATGTTTTATTTTTATCCAAATTTTTAAAAAATATGTATTGGAAACTTTATCCGTAAAATATTTAAATGACTTAATAAATTCTTAATTGGAATTATAGAATCTATTTGAATTTTTTGAATTCCTTCTTTTATCCCATTGTAATATTTTCTATGTTGAATGGTCCTATTTGAAACTGTTTCAAGATTCAAAAGGATGGATAAGGTTGCTCCCACACAGACCCTGTACATTTTTGTAAGCTTCTACGTGGCTGACCAACGTCTTGTCCACGTTGGATTGGTCGATTTAGTAGGTAAAATGATTTAGTAAGGAAACAATACATGGGGAAGCTAATTTATATCATTAGTTATTATTAATATTTACTTTTGAAATTTTAATTTAATTTCTTATTAATTTTATTTAATGGTAAATAAGAAAATAATAATAAATATTTTACAATTAGAAAATATTTTATAAAATAAGATACTAAAACATTTTCAAAGGTGTCATATAAAAAAATACTATAAAATTACAGTATAACCCTCTTTTTTTTGGGTCAATCAGTTGTTTAATAGCTTCACTGCTTTCTAGTATTTTACAAGGTTTGGGTTAGTTTTTGCTACCCAAAGTTTTAGTTCTGAGTTTTCATTGCTTAAATTTGCTTTGTCTAAACCATTTATATAACTATATACCAACAAAGAATAATAGAGAGGCAAATACATTAATAATAAACTGTTTAATGCTTTGGGATACATGAAACAATCATCTACTGGCTACTTTGAAGTCTTTAATTTAGACCCACATTCTTACACAATGTCTCAAAATTTGATTAAAAAGTGAAAGTATATTATATACTGCATAAATTCCTGCTGCATTGTTAGGTTCAGGTCATCTCATGGACAGGTGAGTGGGCTCATCAGAATATTTCTCTTTCCGTCATGCAGTTATTTTTTCAATTTAAAGTATTAAGGATTTGTCATATTTTTAGGAATTTCATGTTTTCTTTGTGTTATTACCAACAAAAAGTTAATTAGTGGACGTAATATTTTTGCCAAATTACAATATTAGCACCCATGCATGGTACATAGTTACAAATTTAGTTTAAATTGAAATTTATTATTGTAATAAAAATTATATTTTACTCACGTTTTCATAATATTCTTAGTAAAACATATTTAGAAAAGAACAAAATAAAATAGAACTAAAATGACGTCATTTATTTATAGATAAAAATGTTTGACATTAGAATTGCCGCCATTGAAATATTATCCCTCGTCGCAAGAGTAAAACTGTTTTATAAAAATTAATACATATAATTAATTTTATCAATGATATTCAATTTATTAATAATTTATATTACTTTTAAAATATCTTTAAAATTATTAAAATTCATTATTTTACTTTTTATTTAATTATATGAAGATGAAGATGAATTTGAATAGTAAAAAGGGTAGCTAGGTCTTTATGATACACCCATGTCTAGCCTACGTCGATATACGAGTTTTTGAGATCCACTCTATAGTCAATCACTCAATATAAAAATAAATATAGACGAAGATACCAGGATATATAGGTATTTAAATGCTAATAAACATAAGGTTTAAGTATTAATAAATAGAAAAATTTTATAAAAAAATATTGTGTATATTTATTATCTTAAAGTTATAAATCTACAATATCTTTTTAATAAAATTTTATTATTAATAATGAATTATCATAATTCTGAGTGCAATAGTTCTGCTACCACCATTATTCACAAGTCGCTAATCTATTTCACTTTGCATGCTGCCCACACCACAAGTTACTCGTGAAATTTAGTGTTATATTTAAACTTCTCATTAGGTTCACTAATCACAATCATATGTTTATTTAAATAGGGATTCTTTTTACTCTATATTAAATACATGTTAAGAAATTATAAACACAGCTTATTAAGGGTATATTTATTTTCTATTTTTAAAATAGTTTTCAATTTTCTTTCTAAATATAGTATTTTTTTTCTAAATATAATATAAATTTTATACTATATTTAAAAAAATTAAAAACTCTTTTTAAAAGAGAAATCAAACATATCCTAAATATTTTAAATTATCACCTTTAAATTTTTTTATTTGTCACAGTTTTGAAATAAAAAAGTTGTTTTTTTTATTTAACTTTAGAAGTTCAAAAAAATATTTATTATTATTTTTCTATTGTACCTTTACTATTCACAAAATTTTAAATTATTTTACATTTTTACCATAAATAAATAATTAATTATTGAAAAGACAAAATTAATGAGACTAAATTACTAATCTATTGTAACTTACTTCTATATTAATATGTAAAATATATTTTATTTCTAATATTGAAAGTTAAAGAGTATGATTAATAAATAAAAAAAAGTTAATTAATTAGAGAAAAAAGAAGGGTGAAATTAAAATTAGGTAACAATTTTTATATAATCTAGGACATTAATTTGTTTGCTGTAAGATAATTTTAAGTGACAAATAAAAAATGAAAAGAGTATTATAAAAATGCATAATTTTTTTAATAATTTTGAGATAATAAATATTTTTATTTTAAATAAAATATTTATAATTTAAATTTCTTAGCCTGTGTCATTTGACACACATTAAAAATATTATTAAACTATTAATTAATTAATATTGATTTTTTCCTTCAGCTCACTCTTCTCATTTTTTTGTATTTCTTTCTTGTAAGAAAAGAGAACCCATTGAGAGTGTGTCATAGTTTTAAAAAATTACTACAAAAAAGGAGAAAAATATTTATATTTTGTATTATTTTGAGTAAGAGTGCTAATGAACTAATCAAAATTAAAAACTGAAAAATAATTATATAATTTTTTTATATAGTTCAATTCCTAATTCTCATATTCAAAGTCAAATCAAATCAAAGTGAATCAAATTGCAAATATATATATATATATAGTTAATTTGTGATTTATAATTTATAGTTATAAATTATAAAAAAATTAGTTACTAACAAAAATTATACATTAGTATGAGTCAAAGTTTATTTTATAATTGGTTTGAATGATTCTTTTACCACAAAATTGATCCAAACGACCAACACTCCTAATTTGGAGTGTTTTTGAAAAGATATTTAAGTTATTTGATTCAAATATAATCTCTTACTTCATGAGATACAAATATATTTTATAAAATTTTTAAAATATCTCTGATTATATATAGTTTTAAATTTATTAATTTATCTTTTACTCATAATTTAATTTTTATTTATATGCTATAACGCTCTAAACCTTTTCATGCTAAGTCTTTATTAGAACGTGTAAAAGTCACAAGTCATTTATGTTTTATAAGATTTCATCAAAGATGCTTTTTTTTTTAAATTTTATTTCTATTATATAATGTTTAGATAAGTCTTTAAAATTTTTATAACAATAATAAAAATTTATTATTATTATTATTATTATTATTATTTTTCTATTTTTAAAAAAGAAAGTTAGTAATATATTTTTAATGTATTATTTTTAATAAATTAGGAATAAAATAAAAATATTAAATTAAAAAATAAAGTTTACATAATTTTATAATTTTTAATTTAAAATATATTATAAAGAATGTGTCGCTGGCCTTCGTGTTTTGTTTATACATCCACATTTTTTTTTTCTTCTCTCTCTCTTCACCAAGTCGATACCCGAAAAACGATGGCAAGACATAATTTTCCTTTCCAATTTTTCGTATCTTTCTCTTCATTCAGCACCGATTCAACACTGCATTTTATGGCGTGAACAGAGCATTTTGAACAATAAAAGATACCAAATAGATCAACCTAAGTACTTTGGTCTAAAAGTCTTTCGTTCGCTGTCGACAGTGTTTCTCGTATGAGGCTCTGTGCTTGCTGTGCTTCTGTCATCAGTTTTCCTGTTTATCCGAAAGAACACTTTCAAAATCCCAAACATAATTGTTTTTGAGGTATTTGTCTCCTTGTCCCTTATTTTACTCATTTGGCGCAGAAGTTCCTCAATTTGTTTGGATCCCCCACATTTTTCTGGGTTGTCTGTTCCATATCAACACAGTATCAAATAAGTTAAAATTACGGTTTCGATCCAATCCCATCTACCCTTTGCAACCCCTTTTATGTATTTTTGGTTGTCCATTTTCTATCTTTCTCATTTCATGTAGTTATGGCTACCTAGTTTTGGCATTCAATTGTGTTCTCTGTTCTGCTTTGTTCTGCCTTGATCACAGAGTTTACTTAAATCAAAGGAGCGACTCCGAAAAAGGAAATTAGTATCCAAGGCCATTCTTTAGAGGGAAAGAGGTTGATAGCTATTTTTCTTTTCTCTTTTTCATTTGAATACCTTTTGGGAATGGAATTTATGCTTATTACGGTGTAAAGGACAATGAAAGTGAACACTTTTTCTCCTTTTTGTTTTTTACTTTTTCTAGTAATTATAAAAATTTCTTATTATAAAGGTAGAGCGTTGGCTTTAGCATGCAAGTTGAGTTGGCTCCGGTAAAGGAAGGGAGCGTCAAAGAAAGAGAGTGACACTGATAGAATAAACATCCTCAAAGACAAATCTTGCAAGATATGAAGAAGCAGCAGTGCAGTGAAGAATCCAAGAAGAAGGAACGTCACATTGTAACTTGGACTCGAGAGGTATTTGTTCTCTCTTTATCACTTTGTATTTTATTCTTTTGTTTACTTATTAATCCATTGCCGTTGTGAGTTTCAGGAGGATGATATACTTAGAGAGCAGATTGGTATTCATGGAACTGAAAAGTACTCATTCCCCTTTCACAATTCTTCTTTTGGCATACTCACTACAGCTTTTTTCTTCCTTGATGTGTGACTCTAAATGGATTTTTGTTGCAATAATTATTTGCAGTTGGGCAATTATTGCATCTAAATTCGAGGACAAAACGACAAGACAGTGCAGAAGGAGGTGAAGTTTTTTAATTGTTTATATGTTTTGAATTTTGATCTTGACTCAATCAAGAGATCTTATTGAGTTATTTATTTTATCATTCTTTAGGTCATGAAGATTTAAATGGCTTCTGTGTTGTTGTTACTATAAATCTGATGCCTAAGTTACTAATAAAATTTCAGATGGTACACTTACTTAAACTCTGATTTTAAGAGAGGTGGATGGTCACCTGAGGAAGACAGGCTCTTATGTGAGGTATATTGATGCTCTCTGTGTTCAAAGGCTACCTTTTCATCTACAACCGTTGCCATGGGAATTTAATATCCTTATTTTATAATATAGGCATGTGGAACTTTGAAAAATTCGAATTATTTTTGTCCATTCAGTCTTATGCCTCCGTGCAGTAGACAAAATCCATTGAGAGACTTGAGGAGTTTTCACTGAAAGAGATGTGGCTTTTGTGACCTAATCCTTTGCGAATGCCATTCTTTCTGTAGGCTCAAAAACTATTTGGTAACAGATGGACTGAAATAGCAAAGGTGGTTTCAGGCAGGTAGCCAAAAATTCACTCTTTCCTCCATGTGAATACATGCTAGTCATTCTTTGAATGGTTAATTCTTAATGCAACGCTTTCTATGCAGAACGGATAATGCTGTGAAAAACCGGTTCTCCACACTATGCAGAAAAAGAGAAAAAATTGCAGCTTTAGCCAAAGAGAACAGCACTTCATACATCAATTCAAATAACAAGAGGATTATTTTTCCAAATGGTTATAATACAGATGCAACCTTAAAATCTGCAGTACCTATTAAGAAGATGAGGTATGTTATACTGTATGTATCAAGCAAGATACACAAATTCTACAGAGTGAAGTGGTAACATCTAACATGTTATCCTACTGCAATATAGGAGGGCCCATATTCCTGATGATACAGAAAAGATCAAATTTGAGGACAGATCACATTTAAGAAATAAAGTTCAAGTAAATCAGCAGCCAAGCCCAAGAACACCATTTGCAGTATTAGCTGAAAATTCCCTTAATGCAAACAATTTGCCAGACCAGCATGATGTTTGCGCTTCCAAGTTTAACGGTTCGGGTAATTATCCTTAAACTGAAGACAGTTAATTATGCAACTTTATTCATGCACTGTGAAATCTGAAACAAAAACCAGGATAGAATTAATATATTCAGCAAGGTGGTTTCTACTATGCTCCCTGTAAGGTTTGGTGCACTCATGCACCTTGAATTTTTACAGGCTATTGTAAGTAACTTTAGTTTTGAAATGGTTTTAATATTAATATGGTTATATTTAAATCTTAACACTACTAAATATCTTCTACTGAAATCCTTCTCCTACCAACCTATAGATATTTATTATAATAAATAAATAAATATTTATTGAACATTAATTTTTAATATTTTTAAAAAAATTGTGATTAAATTAATTATTTGTGTACTACTTAATATTTGAAAAAATATTATTTAAGATAAATGATATTAATAATAATACTTATTTCTTTTATAATATGTTAATGTTATTGACTCAAATTTTTTAAACATAATGTTTATAATCATTTCATAGTTTTAATGTTTGTATTTTTTATTTTACAAAAGTATAAATTTATTTTTTCATTTTTATTTTTACTTTTACAATGTTACTTTGTTATTATTTCTGAACTTTATTAGCATAATAGTATGATAGTTTCTTAATATTTAGTTTATATTTTATAATAATGTTAAGTATGGTAACAAATACATTATAACCACTTTAGCAAGATATAATGATTGATGTTAAACATATTTATATTAGATATAAATGATTTTGTTATGTTTTAAATATTTAAATGTTATTTTATTATTTTGAAATGTTATAATAATATTTTTAATTACTGTAACTCTACAGTGACATTCTGAGGAGATTTATATACAATATAGATAACATGTAATATTAAATACTTACTTTTGTATTAGGTTACCCATAATTAATAATGGCCATTGATCTTGTTTCATTGATATCAAACGATGTCAGATTCAAGGTGCATGGATGCACCTGATGTTAGAGGGAGCATGATAGAAACCACCTATTCAGCAAACAAAACTTTGGCCATCCTCTCATTCTAAGATGATATTGGTTTATCATGCTTCTGCAGCCCAAAATAACAATATTCAAGGAACATTCCTCAAAAAGGATGACATGGACCCAAGTTTTGAAAATGCAAGAAAGGTGAGGTTTCATAGTTTCTAAACTAGCTCCAGTTTTGACTTTTGAGTATGTAACACCTTATGTGCTTCTCCAAAAATGAAACTCCTAATTTGTGTGATGAGCAGAGCTCAAAAGTATCGGTTATATCTCTAGAAGTTCAACGTCAGTAGAAAGCAATTTGTCACCTGTCAACCTATTTATACGAAAATTATGGACATCTTTTAACATTTTTGTCTTGGCGTTGTTCTTTAGCATTCTAGTAGCATTAAAAGCTAATCGAAATGTATTAGACATTATATTTTCCTATAGTTTTCTATAACATTTTCAATTATTTCATGGATATGAGGATGAAAAATTTATTTGAAAAGACACATGAATCGCATAACTTTTTAATCTTGCCCATGAAAACCATGAAATAATTTCGTAGTTCGTATTGCTTGCATATATTCAAATATTAAAATCTTAACACAACTCTAAAATGCATATCGCAAGTTGATATATGTTATTCCTGAGTATATAATTATGAGAATGTCATTATTTATAAACTTGAAATATCAAAAACTTGTTTGAACTGATGCTAGGTTCTTAAAGAGTTTCTGAACATAACCAAAGAATCAGATATTGCTGGACATAAGATTCCAGAGGTACCACTTGTAGATCTTAAAGAATTGATTGAGGACTTGAAGAGTGGTAATAAGGAAGGCCAGCCTTGTTGGAGGTACTTTAAGTTCTTCAAAAAAATAACTTCACGAATGGGCTCTGAAACCTCTAATAGTTCCAAATTATGGTCTAGGCAAGTGGAATGCTATGAAGACTCTCCAGGCAGTTCTGAATACAGTACAGGATCAACTCTCCTGCCATGGTCAGCTCGTAATACTTTGGAGCACTCATTGCATCAGGGTATTGGAATTGAAATGAAGTCTAGACAATTTGGAGATGAAAAAGGAGTAGGTGGAGGTGAGAAAGGGGTGCATTCTACCACAAATGTAGATCAAAGTAAGATAATCCATTTCCATAAATAAATGAAAAGAAAATTGCAAGAATTTTTGCTAAAATTTCAATTTAGGAACAATTGACCACTTAATGACTTAATCACTTGACTAATTTGTTCATAAGCTGTAAATAATAAAACTTAGGGGCTATTTGATTTGAGATTTTTTTTTCACTTTTAATTACAAAATTGTCATCTTATTTTTATTTTGTTTTCCATTTTGAAAGATTTGTATAGGAAATAAAGTAAATGACTTTATTATTTTCACTGTCTTATATAAATCTTTGAAAACAAGAAATAATGAAAACACAGGGTGATGCTTTTGCAATTAAAATTGCAAATAGAAAATAAAACGAGATATTTTTTCATCTCAAATCAAACAACTTTGTTTTTTATATTTTCTAAAATTAAATGCTTTTATCTATGTGCTAATACCCTAACGTTTTAATGAATCAAAATTGCTTATAAGACATGTATTCTGTGGCAGGTTTGTTACCATGTTGTGAGGAAAAGATAAACGATGATGACGTTGATTCTTTTCAAGTAACCCCTCTATTCAGATCATTGGCGTCAGGAGTTCCCACTCCACAATTTTCTGAAAGTGTAAGTAGTCATCTTGGCATTTGGGCATTCAACAATTTTAAGGCCAACCAAAAATTATAATAGTGACAAATAGTATGTTAGGATTCAATTGCAAGGTATGAGACTTGAGTTTCACATTAGAAGTATGAGATTTTAATATGAAGTTTATAAGGCTTTGAGCTCTCCAACTACTAGAGCTATCTTTTGTGGTGTGGTTCTCCCAAAGTTTTTATCAATTAGTATCAGAGCCTAGGATGTTAGGATCTAATTTCAATTTATGAGACTTGAGTGTCACATTAGAAGTACAGGATTTTAGTGTGGGATTTATAAGGCCTTGAGCTCTCCAACTATAATGGCTAGTTTATGTGATTTAATTCTCTCAAAGTTTTTATCAATTGGTATCAAAGCCTTTCACTATATCTTCTAGCTACAAATGGGCAGCATAGGTGGTGATGTCAGCTTTGCAGTGTTCACCCGGAACTAGTTATAGGGGCTAGTGCATAGTCAACTTGTATGGGTGTCAGGGCTACAAAGTGTGATGAGTGCTAGTATAAGGCATGAGATTTAAGTTTCATTGGAAGTATGAAATTCTAATGTGGGGTTTATAAGGTTTTAGACTTGCTACAATGATTAACTCTTGTAGTATGATTTTTTCAAAGCTCTTATAAATTCTCCTACATTGGAAATATAACATTCTAATATGGGGTTTATATAGCTTTGGGTTTTCCAACTACAACAACTAACTTTTGTGGTGTGCTTTCTAAGGTTTTTATTAATTGATATAAGAGCTTTTCACCATGTCTTCCGACTGCATATGAGTGCCAGTGGCACAGTTTGTGATACTAATACTGTAATGTCTAGTTTAGGAGAAGAGAATGATTTCTTTCTTCATTATTTAATCAAAGAATTTCAAAGAAAATAAATAGGCAGAAAGACAGATCCAAGTAATATGAGAAAATAAGATAAAGAGTAGATCAAAATCAGACAGAGTCAGATTTAGTTTTACTCTATCCTAATTGTTTAAAAATAAAACATTTATACAATGTCAACACCCCCCTCAAAGTTGGTGCATATATATATCTAACATGCTTATAAGAAATTCAAAGTTAGGTCTAAACAGCCTTCAGTAAGAATATCTGCCAACTATTGTGAGGTTCAAACAAGTGGCATGCAAATAATTCCTTCATCAACTTTCTCCTTTATAAAGTGTATGGTCGTGTTGGACATGATTTTGAGATATACTTATTATCACAATATAGTTTTATAGGGGTAATTATAGGAAGCTGCAATTCTTTAAGGATTCTTTTCAACCACAAAAGTTTAGACATTACTTATGCCATGACTTAATATTCAAATATAGCACTACACCTTGCAACTACACTTTTGTTTTTAGCTTCTCCATGTAACCAAAATTTTCCACACAAAAGTACAATACCCAAATGTTGACTTCCTTTCTGTAATCAAGTCAACCCAATTAGTATTAATGAAGGTCTCAATTGTTTGTTATTTAATCTTTTAGTCTTCTTAAAAAAACATCCCTTTACCAAGAGCACTTTTCAAGTACCTAAGGATTCTATAGACAGTATTGATGTGTTCTTCACATGGAGAGTGCATAAGTTGACTTATCAAGCTAACAACAAATGCAATGTCAAGACAAGTATGAGATAGATAAATTAATTTTTCTACTAATGTTGGGACCTGGAAGCGTCATTCTTGGTTATTTCCAACCTTCTGATTAGGATTAATTGAAGTTTCAACCGATTTACATCCACTTGTTCCAGTCTTATTGAGAAGGTCTTATATGTATTTTTTCTAAAAAGAAACAATTTCCTTTCCCAATTTTGCAAATTCAATTCTCAAGAAATATTTTAGAGATCCAAAATTCTTGATTTCAAATTCAGCATCCAAAGAGTCCTTCTGTTGATTCATCTCAAACAAGTCATCTCTTGTGATCATTATATCATCTACATAAACATTTAGTACAATCAGCTTCCCTTCAAGGGAGTGCTTTGCAAACATGATGCGATCACTTTGACATTGCAGATACTCTGTGTTAGGGACCAGATATTAGACTGAAGAATTAATTGAGAAAAAGTCTAGGAATGGTTATATTATTTAACGTAAAGGAAAACAATACAGGAGGAAATAAACAACCCCACTGTCATAGAGCACTGCTCCTACAGAGAGACTACAGCTCCCTGCCCATAACAGAATTTCCCTATCCAAAAAAAAAGTGATCTCTCTCTCCCCTCTTCATTCCCTATATTCCTTGGCAATTCTGTTACAACTTCTGCCACATCATCTTTTCTATTCTTAGCCCGGTTTCTCTTGACATACACCCTCCATGCCTTGGACCTTTCCTCACGACCCAAGCCCACATGTCCACTCCTATCACTCTGGCTCTTTTTATGAATTGAGTAAAACTCTCACTAAGCTTTGAGTGATTGTTTCAATTTATATATATATGTTTCTCCAAGTCTCCTTTGAGAAAAACATTTTTCACATCTATTTGTAAAGGTCAATCAATATTGGTTGCCAATAATAAGAGAACATCGATAATATTTAACTTTTCACACAGTCTACCCTATAAGTTTGGGTTTAACCCTTTGATCACCAACCTGGCTTTGTATCGTTTAAGCATTCTATCTGCCTTATACTTGATTGTGAAAAACCATTTGCAACCCACAATTTTTTCCCATTGGGAAAAATTCCAGCATTTTCCAGGTTTGGTTCTTCTTTGGAGCTCTAATCTCCTCCAAGATAGCCCCCTTCCACACCAGAATCTTTAGAGCAGAATGTATATCTCTTCGTTATTTGTTTTGTCCAATTCTAAAGGAAGGGCACTAAAAGAAGGTGATAACTTATCATATGCACAATTAGTGATAGATTACATTGTTTGAGATTGAACACCTTTTCGGATAGCTATGGGAAGATATGATTGATCTGATTTTAAGTTAACAAGCTCATTAGTTGGATAAGAAGTTGGCTGGACAGTTTCAGAAAGAATGTTTCAGATTGTTGGAAGTGTTGAGATTCTCTTAGTTGCATAGCATCATTTGGCCTCACTGTATGAGCTCTTTTTGTACTTGAAGAGACAAAATCAAAGGGTTTTAGACCCTTGGTTATTGTAATTGTCTTATTTCCACCTATTTCAAGGTTTTCAGATCCAAAAATACCTTGCAGGTCCTTGTTTTCAGCTTCAACTTGTGTTTCATAATTTTTACTAGAACTTAACAAATCTGGTTCTAAAGGTTCTAATAAAAAAAAATTCTGAATCTTCAACTCCTCCCTCTCCCCTCTGTCTAAAAAGGCATTTTCATAAAGGTGACATCAATAGTTACAAAAGCTCTTTTGGTTGGGAGTGTAACCGATAAACGGACTCTTTTTAGCTCTTGGATCAAGTTTATTTTGATTTGGTCCATGTGAGTGAACAAAAACTGTAGAATTGAATATCTTTAGGGGCGAACAAGTTGAAATACTATTTGTTGAAATAATGCAAATGATAAAAGATCAAGAGTTTAGAAGTTTAAAATTTTGCTAGGTACTATTGATTAAGTTGCATTCAAGATTGCTTCAACCTAAAGATATCAAGGTACATTATTTTGAAATAACAAAGCTTGAGTAACTTTAAGAATGTGTTTATTTTTTCTCTCAACCACTCCATTTTGTTGAGGGGTATCAACACAAAAACGTAATGGATAATTCCTTCTTGAAGAAAAAAATTATTTAAACATTTGTTAAAATACTCCCTTCCATTATCATTCCTAAAGATTTTTATTTATAGTTGGAATTGGGTTTTAATCGTTTGGAAATAAGTTTTAAGAAATTCTCTCTACTTCTACTTTTTCTTTTATTAAGAATACCTATACTAGTCTAGTATGATCATCTATAGAAGTAACAAGTTACCTTTTTTTCAAAGGGAGTAGGATCATGACTAGGACTCCACACATCACTATAAATAAGAGTAAAAAGACTAGACTTTTTGTAGGGATGAGGGGAGTAAGTAGAGTGATGATGCCTTGCCAATTGACAAGTTTCACCAGTAATTAAAGATGGATTTTTATTCTTGAAAAGATTAGGAAACGTGTTTCAAGTAAAAGAAACTTGGATGACCTAATATTTAATGCCATAACATAATTTTCTCATCCCTAGAAATAGAGATTGAATTGAGACAATTACTCTCACTCTTTTTATTGAAAACAAATCCTTCTTCCAAGAAATAGAGGCCATCAACTTCCTTAGCACTGCCAATTGTCTTTCCTCCAATTTCAAATCTTGAAATTTACAAAAAGAATAGAAAACAGCAAAACATTGTTGATAGTGAGTTAACTTGCTGGACAAAAGGTTGTAAGATAAGTTAGGAACATAAAGAACATTGAAAGTAGGGGAACTTGAAGTAAGGATGGAACTGGCACTAGTTATGCTGAAAAAGAACCAACTTCAATTTTAACACTTTTGTTACCTGCACAGGGACTATAAGTAGAAAAAAATTCAAGCAATTTGTCATGTGACCTGTGGCTCCATAATCAATGACCAATGGAGCATGGTTTAGAACTATGGAAAGTACCTTTTTGGACCAAAGAAGAAGCAGAGAATTTGTTTTAACTGCTCTTGTGTGAAAAAAGACAACTCATGCATTTTTCTGCACCTGGTCTTTGGAGTTTGATGCCTGAAATGCTCTGCCTTCACCTCCAGATTTCTTTTCCAGTTTGCTAGTTTTTCATGGATTTTCCAGCAAGTCTCCTTTGTATGCCAGGGCTTTCAACATTGTTCACACCATGGTTTTTTCTTTCTTTCTCCTACTGCATCACACACCTTTTCCACTAAGGCAGAACGCTCAGTATCTTGCAAATTTTGAGACGATTGCAACATTATTTTCTCCTTGGATTCCTGTCTTCTAACCTTGGAGAACACCTTCCTCATTGAGGTTCAAGGTTTCCTACCTAAAATTCTTCCTCTCACTTCACCCAAATCATCTTTTGAAACGCATAGCATCTTTTGGACTTCTTCAGTTGTCTTCATAGCATTGGTGCAATTCCCTCCAAAGTGTGACCATGGGATTTGTAGTATGTTGTGACATCATGTTCTCCTTGTTTGGACTGCCTCAATCTCGTTTTTAGGTCAAAGATCTAAAAGAATTCTCTAGATTAGAAAAGCAATCTTTTGAAAGCTTTCCAAACATCCTTGGCAATTGGTAGAAAAAGGTAAGGGTTTTGTTTTTTGGTTCCATCAAGTTGATAAGTCCGTCAATGATTAATGAATTCTCAGAGTTCCATTTCTGTAGCAGGGTCATCATTTCCTGGTTGTGCAGTAGCTCTAGTAAGGTGGCCCCATCTTGCCTTTGCCTTCTAATGTGAACTCAATCGATTATGCCCTGTCTAGGTAATTATTCCCATTAAGCTTTTGTGTTACAAGATGTAAGCCAAAATTAGAAGATAGCGTCTCAATTGCAATAGTAGAGGGCAAGTTGGTGTTTGATGTTGCTGAGGAGGTTTCCGTAGTGTTCAATCCTCTGTTAATTCCATCTGATCCGGTTTCTCAAGTCTCCCCAGTCATGGCTGTCCTCACCATGATGAAATAATCTCTGGATCAGAGCTGTCAAGCTTTTATACCATCTAATTTAGGAGAACAGAATGATTTCTTTCGTCATTTTTCAATTAGAGTTACAGAGAAAATAAGAAGGCAAAGGAAAAATCAATTAGAAGAGGTTCTCTTATCAAAACAGATTACAAAATAAAATAAAAAAAACAAGGAAAAGATCATATCAAAATCAAAATTAGACTCAAAATCAGTCATGGTTTTATTTTATCTTAACTTTCTAAATATAATATATTTATACAATCTCAACTCAACACAATGTTTGCCCACGGCTAATTAAAGATTCCAGTGTGCATAGCTAGCCCCTATGGGCATCAGGGCCACGGAAAGTAGTGAGATGTTAGGATCTAATTGCAAGGTATGAAACTTGAGTCTCACATTAGAAGTACGAGACTTTAACTACAACGGCTAACTTTTGTGGTGTGATTCTCCCAAAGTTCTTATCATAACATGATTAAATTCTTATAACTCTCAATCAGCAACAGAACTTTTAGATTGCCGTTTATCAGTAGATCTACTCAAGTAGTAGTGGTGGACTTGAACTGAGGGTGGTCCCCATAAAAAAATTTGCTGGAAAAGATGGCTAAGAGGTCCACCGGTCAGCGACTGGAAATGAATAATCTGTTTCCAAAGGGGAGAACAATTTTCAAAAAATTCTGCACTAGTAAGCAATTGTCCCACTAGGTGATCACATATTAAGATTGTCACTTGTCAAACTCTAGATCATGTTGAGATAAAAGAGGAAGAAGATACATAGGATGAATTCTTGTGTCTAAAGTCTAAACTAAACAACGGGGCATATATTTATAATTGAAATCATTATTCCCAAAATTAAATATAAGATTAATTACGGTAATATGAAGATATAACTTTCCTTATTTACAGCATTATTATAATTATATATTTCTAACAGTTCTAAAACTTTTCTTTCAGGAAAGAAACTTCTTAAGGAAAACACTAGGGATGGAATCTCCATCCATCAAGGCAAGTGCCAACCCGTCACAACCGCCACCCTGCAAAAGAGCCTTACTACCTAGTCTACAATCCATCTGAGAGAGAAATACCGATTGGTACATTCCCCTTTCCAAGTCGTTCATTCTTATCCTTGGTGCTAGTGTGGCTTGTGGGAGATCTTCTCTGCCTCGTTTAAGAAAACAACATTATCATACATTCTTGTCATCTTCAACATATCTATCGTCATCTTTTTCCTCCTCCCCTTCACTCAAAATTACCTTTTTGATGCTTGCACATAAAATTGTCGTGCTTAGTGTATCATTCTTTGGTTTGTTTTCTTTTGATATTGTTCTGGGTTTGTTTTTCTCCAATCCAGCCTTTTGTCTTGTTTTTTGTTTGTACAGAGCCTACTGTGTAATTACTAGCATTCTGAGTGAGTATGTATAGATTAGCATTTCGCTTATCCTACTACATATAATGAACAGAAACATAGAAGAGTGACACAGAATCTTAACCATGGGCAACTTGGATTCTTCTTTGTTGTTTTGGGTTGTATTATAAATATTTTTTCCCTTTGGATTCTGATGTACTGAAACTTAATTATAATAGAGTGGAAATGCATTTTTTGGTTTTGGTGTGTAGATGCTGTTTCTGCTCTTACTTTCCCAGATTTAGCAGAGTTAAAAAGACAAATGCCATTAAACATTCATAAGTCAGAGAAAGCTAATGTCAACCAATTCATATCAAAATTCTCAGCAATAAAAGCTTCATTTCCTTTTCTATAAAAGTTAACTAAACAAGAAATGGAGAATGCAAAATTATGCGCGGACAGAGTTTACAGGATATCTCGTACCTTGACCTGGCAGAGGCAAGCATATCACTATGTTATGCTTTGTTCGCCATGTAGATAGTCTTGTGCTGTGTGGAAGAATTGTTGTGCAACTGATTCTTATTTAGTTCATGGCTGTGGTGGAATACAGTAGGCAGATAATGATAACAAATGCAAAAGCATATGGGGAAAAGAGGGAGGGAGTACCCTACAAAATAAAGTGCATACATTGCTGTTAACTTTGTCCAGGAAAGACAAACTTTGATTTGACAAACCAAATTCCGCTCTCTCGAATTGAATCCAATTTCACTGACACATAAGCTGGTAAAAACCTTAATTGTTATAATATTTGGTGTTATTTACATAATTCTTGTGATCGAAATTATGAGAAATTCTAAACAACTATTAGAAAACAAGTGTTTTTTTTTTAGTTAAAATGGAAGATGCTTTTTTATTATTATTATTGTTTGAGCCAGTATTCATTTTAACTATAATTTTAATCTTTCAACTGAGATGAAATACCTCCCAACAAATCTCACGATGACCAAGCAGAAATTTCTCAGCATCTGTACTATACCATCCATGTTCAATTAAACTAACTTTTAGAAGTGGTCCATTTTTTTTTGTCAACTTTAGAAGTGGTCCATAAAGCATCAATCCTGTTAAAATTGAACCAATCAGTGCAACCCAGAAGATCCAACCACTCTAACAATAAGGTAAATGCAAACTAATACTCAAAATAATAATAAAAAAATTAAAAATAATTTATATATTAAAAGATGTAATAGTGCACTTCTTTTATGATCTTTTAATGCACTCAAGTTGTGATTTTTAATTAAAAAATATTCTTTTTACTCTACTAAAGATAAGTAAGACCATAACAATTTCAAATTAGTATACCAGAAGATCCAACCACTTAGTGATGACGCTTGCAATTAGAAGAAGTAAAATGGGATATTTACTCGGAAATTTCTATTCTATTTCTTTCCCTATAACACCTCTCCTCCTCTCCCACACAATGCAATTTGAGCTTCCAGATCTGAACGAAGTAAATAACATTGAAACTAAAAAACAAACGATTTAGTGTTTATTTGAACAGTCCCGAACCTCGCGTAAGAGCTTAACTACGGATCTTATTAATTGAATAAAATCACATCTCCCTATTTAGCAAGGCCACTTTAGTGCCATAGTGTGGGAATAAAATTCTTCACAAAAGAGTAGGTAAGATAAGCTGGGAATCGTATTTATAGAGTAGTGTTGATTTTAGATGCTATGAAGAGGCACGTGATAATAATTTTACAAATCAAGAAGAATCGGGGTCTAAACATTTTACAGGAAATTAGTCCTTTAAGCGTCCACCATTTTAGTTTTTGACTTTACAAAAATTTCACTTTTCTTTTTTTTATTTTAAAACGACATTCATTTTAATATTTTTTATATAAAAAAATAAAAAATAAAGAAAAAATATTAAAATAAGTGATTTTTAAAATATGAAGGACTTAATAGTAAGAATTATATAAATTTCAACTTTTAACCTTTTCTCAATAAAACATCAATTCAATTACAGACCCAGTTAAAATGATCCTATGGGTAAATCTAAACCGGGTTCATAAAATGTTATATTGACATGAGTTGAAGGACAAATAAGCTACAATAGCACGGACATTAGAATTCAAAACTGCTGAAGTTTCCTCTTCATATGGCTTTTCGCTTCTGCAATCTCTGCAGCTTCTGCCACTTGAGGTAAATCTGATATGATAATCCAGAGAATACCATAAGGACACATCCCCATTGCTTTGTTGATAGGGGATTCCCACTCAATAATGAAGACACCACAATGCTAACAAATTTGCGAGTGGTAGTGATGGTGGTGTTAACCAAAGAGCCAAAACGGTTTATAGTCAAAAAGATGAAATTCTGGCCTACAGCACCACAACAGCAATAGAGAAAAATATCCCATGCTGCATCTGGATGCTGTTTGCAAAAGCTAACTGCATCAAATCCAATGCCATGGGGCCAGCCAAACATGTAAATCATATTGTATATGGTGCCCCATAAATTCATCCCTAACATAATATCCCAAGCACTTGTATTTGGGTACCTAAGTATTAAGACAAACCAATAGTTTAGAAAATTAATTGCAGTAATAAACTATAATTGAATCTACATTGGAGATGTTCTCGACAAAAGGAATTATTTTTTACTTCTCTAATAGTCAAACAATGTTGAAAAGTCAATATTCAAACACCAAAGAAAGAAACTAAAATTTTGACTCCTAAAAGCACCAAAAATTCAACTAGTTGTACACCTAAAACAACTTGATCGTCATAGGAGAGGGATAAGTAATACATGAAAAACTTCATTATTAGGTTCCAAAGGGCATGGGAAGCAAGGAGTAAATGTAGATGACACAAAAGAAAGATATGAAAAAAGTGCAAGAGTCTAAATCGGATAGATTTGGTTAGTATCGTGCAAAGGGGTAAGTTTCTCTTGTATTACCTTGCTTTTAAGGAATCCTGAGTTGCATTTGTAAATCCATCAAAAGCAAGGTTCAGGAAACATAGCCCATATCCAAGGGGAGCATTTGGATGTGCCAACTTGCTGATAGTCTTTGAGCTAGTCTGTCAATAAGCATACGCAAAGATGAGCAAATTGAAAGCTTTGCAGCATTCAGACTCCATGTAATGCTTTGCTAGAGACTAAAATGCTTTGCTCTTTTAATGCGAGGGGTTGCTAACCTTTAGAAGTGCAAATGTTGATACCCCTCCAGCAACAAGGAATGTACAAAGGTATTCGGGAAAAGTGTATCTTATACCATATACCAGAGTACCTATCAGCATAACTGCATAAATATAAAGTGAATACTTCGGTAGACATTTGGTCGTAAACAATGAATAACTACCAAATAATGAAGAAAAAAAAAATTAAATTACAAGATTTTCTATTATTTTTCCAGCGCAACACTTGATTTCTGCATACTAAGACACCAAAAAGATGGTAAACAACAATGAGTGAGCAAATTTCACTCTCTGGCAAAAAAAGAAACTCAGCTACTTTCCAGTGATAAATTAATATAATGCAACTCGTGCGTGAAGTACATTGTACTAACCTGGAATCATTTTTGAGGATTTTGCAAGGACCTGTAAGTCGCAAAAGAATACCATCCTTAAAAACATTATACTGGAGATATTGAAATAAAACAAAATCATATCAAAGCCAAGTGGAATACGACTTTGTTATCGTTGTTGTATCCAATAATAAACAAAGCATAGTAATGAAATAAGGATTTACTAATGCTATCCTTACGACAGTGATTAAGGTGTACTAAATAAACGCAATTAAATACTTCCAAATTTACAATAACTAAAAAATAGTAAGTGTTAAATGATAGTTTGTTTGCGTTTCTGATGCAATAAATAATTTATTTTCCGATAAAATTTATACATTTTTTAGGATCATTTCATTATCATTATTATAATTACAATCATTATTTTCATGAGAAAGATCATTGCAGAATATTAACATCCATTTATGAGGGGACACACAAATTTAGTAAATAAAAGCTACAAATCCCACTGACAATATCAATGAAACATACCTGAGCGGGGTAACTGATATACTTGAGTGCTTCAATTCCCATTGCTGGACCAATTGTGTTAGTAATGCCAGCACTCCAATATGACCACCAAGGAGCACCTTCACCACTCCCACTTGACCATATCTTAATCACTGTGCAATCACATTTGAATTAAAAAAAACAAACACACACACACACAGAAAGAAAAAAAAGAAAGCAATTTAATTTTTCAGTTTTGCCGACGTGTATTCAAGCACACAATAAACCCTAAACCCTAAACCCTAAAACTTTTATAAAAAATTATAACATTTAAATTCTATTATATATAATATGATTTCTAATTAAAATTTACTATTAATAAGTTGTTTTTGTGTATAAATTTTAGCATTTGTTAAAAAAAATCCTTTAAGTTTAATTTTATATCTGAATTACTCCATTGTGTTCGCAATGCAAATAAAGAAGAATAAGGAATTAGAGGTGGGAAACTCACTCATATATGACCACACCAAACACACCACGTTCTGCGCCAAGTTTAGAAATGCCAGATACTCAAACCTCTGTCCATCTGTACCGAACCGTTTCGTCGACCTGAACCGAACCGAATGAAATCAATAAAAAAAAAAACTAAAAATAAATAAAATTGTGAGAAATTTCTACGTTTTCAGCGTACAGAGTTTCTTGAAGAACGCCTTGGGTGATGTATGCAGACCAGATTCCGACGACGCAAAAGGCCAAGACGAGCACACGGCGGAGAGCGCCGTCGTGAGCCTCCATTAGTGTGCTGCAAACGGAGGAGTGAACGACTGAGGTTAACGACGATGGGACGGTGTTTTAAGAGAGACCGACGTGAATGTTTAAATAGGGGGCGCCAACTTACATCATTGTTCCACGTGGAGGGTTGTTGTTGGTTGAAGACTTTCCTTCGCGCTCTTCATTGGCTGCACAAACGCACATCTCCGGTTTGTTGTTTCACTTAAAATACTATTTCTTTTCCTAAACGTGTAAAATGTGTTTGTTTGATTTTCAAAATGTGCATAAAAGGGTTTTTTTTTTTTTTTTTTTACCAAATTAATATTATTTTTAAAATAATTTTATTTATTAAAATGAGTTGTTTGGCCAAGTGATATGTATAAGGCAGAAATTAGAGAAGTTACATCCTAAAAATTATCATGTGTAAGTTTTGAGGTATTAATGTGGTGTTTTTCTTTTATAAAACTAAAAGTTGTGTGTGTCAATAACTTCCAAGTGTATGGTGCTTTTATATTAAAGTTTTAATTTTTCTTGTCGGACTCCTTACGCATGTGAAAAAGAAATAATTAACGTAAAAAATGGTGATAGCTGTGTTAATATTATGTGTATATATTGTTGTGTTCAAGATAAAAATTCAAATTATAGTAAAAAAAGAAAATAGGAAAACTCAATTTTAATTTCTATTAGAAACTTCTATCAAATTAGAAGAAGAAAAAACAAATTTTGGATCCAAATTCAAGTCAAAAGAAGAATAAAATTAATTATAAAATTTAAATTCTAAGGTTAATAGATATTACAGACCACAAGTTCACATGGGAGATGTGATAACTTTTAACATATAGAACAAAAACAACATAAATTAGGGTTGAGAATACATGTTCAACTTGTTGATTAACCCACCATGAGAAGTGCTGAGATTCTGAACTTGTCATCTCATTTAATTAAAAAAATTATTTTTATTTTAAAATAAATATTTAATGTAAATATATTTATTATGTATTTCAATCACTTCGATAAAATTAATTTTAAAAAATAAAATAAAATGAGAAATGATATTTTATAAATAATGTAAAAGTAAAAAATATAATTAAAATAAAAAACGGTTATTGTTTGCTAAAATAAAATACACCTAAAAATAAATTTTATTTTTTATGAAAAATAAAAGTTCTATAATAATTTCTTAATAAACAATTAAATATAATAAATGATAATGAATTTTTATAACAAAATTTTCTTTATTTTTAACAATTTTAAACAAATTAACTAATTATACAATTTTTTTCTCTCTCTTTCTTTTTTCCACTTCCTTTTTCTCTCTCCATGATGGGGGCACAGTAAGATTTTTTTCATATTTTACTTCTCTCTCACACAGTTACTCTGGGGATGCAGATAAAAGCACCATTCTCTCTCTCTCTCTCTCTCTTTCGGAGGAGATGCTTCTTATTTCCGCTCATGCATTTCTCTTTGCCGAAATCACATCTAAAGTTGGAAGAAGGATTTAAAGAAGGATTTTTTTACCTCAAGAATAACCAAGCAATTCTTTAACATCGTTTGGCAACGTAACTTTTCAATTGATTTTTTTTTTCCTTGCATTTATTATTCTATTTATATCTTCATCCTTCAGTACTGAATGATGTTGGTATTTTTCTTATTTTGATTTCAATTCAATATTGCACATAAAACATTTAGTTTAATAATAATATAACTCAATATTAGTAAGAAAAATCAATGTCAGACTAAATGAAATCTTATTGCTTGTTGATATGGCTTAATCATGAAATATGAGTAGTTCTTGTGCTCTTGACAAATGAGTTTGTGTGATATGTTTTTTTTTCCCCTTAATTCAAAAAATCAAGAGAACTATAAAGATATCACATGTTATTCTTGTTCCTATAGTCTCTTTATAACATAACCTATAAGACTCACTCAAGATATGTCATCAACTTACGAAGATCATTGAATTCAAATTATTTTTCTTAATGCGAGAATTGGACCAATTTCACTTTTTATAGCAAAAATAAAAAAACACTACAAAATTTTTTTTATGCTCTCTCTCTCTCCAATCTCTCTGCCCCCACCTCTCTTCTCCTTCTAACTCTCACACTTACCTATCCTCCTACTTGAAAATTTGTGACTACATGGAAGAGAGTGATGATGAGAATTTTGCATAAATTTTTTTTTTTTATTTTTTTATTTTTGTTTAAACAAAAATAAAATTGGATAGTTCCTACATTAATGAGAGAAAATCTAGATTCAAAGACTATTTTTTAGTTCATTAAATGGCTATTGGGTCAATGAAGATTATCTTCAACCCACACAAACAGGGTGTCAATTATTGGAAGCAGTGGAGAGTGATTTATATTGAGATTGTGGCCTTTTTGCTAAATAGAAACAAACCTACACGTGCTACACTACATATCCCCATTCATATAGTTTATCGTACTTCTTTCCCTCTTAGAATCCTTTTGCATCAAGTGAGACCTCCACTTGACGACCCTACTCCTTCCTCCTCTAAGGTGTCTTAGAAGGAAAATTTAGACTCACTCCCCTCATCCTTTGCCATTCATCTAGGTCAGCATTGGGCCTTATTTTTGTGACATCGACTGCAACTTTTGGATATAAGAGGATGAGTGTCCACTAGTATTGAGCTGTTTTAGACTAGAAAGCCTTCTGATCCTTCTCCAAGTAAGGTGGGACAGATTCATGCCCTAACTGCGAATCTTCATGGGTTCCTGCTAGAGCATCTAGTTAAAGAGGCGATGGATGTGTGAGAAAGTATTTTTTGGAGTAGGTCAGTAGGATGTAGTTGGAGTGAAATTATGGGAAATAGACTATTTCATATACTACTCTATGTGTTGTGCCCCCAATCAATTTATATATGAGTTGATTTGTTTTTACTAACTAGTGGATTACTATATATCCTTTCTTAAAGCATCAGGTTTGTGATGAAGTTGTGTATTCTCTTCTTTGATTGATATTTATGGTGTGGATGTTTCTGTAAAATAGTAAGAGGTGTTGTATATCTCAAATTGTTGTCGATGCTCGACTTTCACCCTTGGCAAGTTTAATAGGAAAACACAATTTACTACATCTTTGGCTACCAAATTTTTTTTTCCTTATACCTTAATATATATTTGTTGTTTGAGAGTGGATGCTAAATCTACTATTATTGGAGCTCTTCCAAAATCAACTTCTTAATCTCTACATTATTAGGTACATTTGTCCTACCTTAAAATCTTAAAATTTTATTATAAAAATATTGGAGTAAACCCTTATATTAGTCCATCAGATAATGAAAGTCTTGCATATTAGTATTTTAGTTATTTAAGTTGTCCCCTTAGTTTTTCATATTAATATGTCATGCATTTATGTTTTTCACATTAACTAACTGAAAAAATGTTAAATTTTATCTTTAAGTGATACGTGGAAGCTAAAATGATATCGTTTCACATAAAGTCATGATCTAATATGACTAATTTTGCATCATCAATGTTGCACTCATCTCTAATGCTCCCACAGTTCCTACCACCTCTCTCTCTCTCTCTTGCCGAATCACAACATTGAGGCCACTGTTATAACTCTCTCTTTTCTTCTTCAATAATTGTTCATGAGTTCACATCTAAGAAAGAAGAAGACTCACTTGTGATTCATGGTTGGTTTGTGTGCATTTCATTCATGGTGAATGTAGCTGGGTATTTGCATTTAATATTGGAAAGGTTAAGAGGAGGATGACAAAATAGTGACATTGGAAGTTAGGTTATAGAGAAATGGCGTTAAGGAGATGAAGAGAGAGAGACAGAGAGATTGGAGGCATGACTACTGTAAAGCACGTGACTTTGAGGATGAGGAATGGAGAAAGTAAAGGACAAATGTAAAACGATATTGTTTTAGTTTTTACGTGTCATTTAATGATAAAAGTTAATATTTTTTAGTTGTTAATTAATGTGAGTAATTTAAATGCATGACCACACCTATCTAACATATTAATTTAAAGATTTACTCAAAAGTATTAATATTGAATTGTTTAACGTTGCCTACGTCACTTATATATTTTTTTCATTATATATATATATATATATATATATATATATATATTCAAATAAAATATGAAATAAACTTTTATGTTAGATGAAACTTTGACAAAGCACTCATTGTAATCTTTTTATTTTTATCAATATGATACATGACTTGATTGTTATTTAGTACTTATTTTTTATTTAATTTTAAAATTATTAATTCATTATTTTTTTCATAAATATCAATTTTAATTACTTTTAAAATTTTTATTGCATGATATAAATTTTTCTCTCAAATCTCAACAAATTAGACTTTTAAATTAGCTCTTTTCATTTTTTTTTTTACTTTTCTTTTTTCTCCTAAGTATAAACTACTTATTTTTCTAATTATAATTATAATTATATTTGAATTGGTTATACATTTTTTTAAATTTTCAAATTTTTAATTAAAATATGCTATACTTATTAGTTTTTGTAAAGTTTTGCAACCTAAATTTACACCATATATATATTGATACGTCAATCGATTATTTTTTATTAATGTTTGTTCCCTTATATAAGTAAACGAAGATCACGATAATTAAAATAACTATGATAGATAATTGTAATGTATTACTTTTTTCTACCATGCCTTAAAATTATATAATTGTTGGTGTTTTTAGACTTGTTAACATAACAACAAAGTATATTAGAACAAAAAAAAAATAAAAAATGACGTATGTTAGCCGATGGAGATGTAGATCAATTCACTTATTAAACAATTTTATTATAAAATAAACTTTAGGTTAGACTATTTTTTTTCTTTAGAGAAGAGACCTTGTTTAGATAGATAATCTACATTTCAGCCATTATTTTGGAAAATAGGCTAAGTTTGTCAAAGATAAGCGTTGGCTTAACTTCTCCTGTTTCTACACCTATACATACATTATGAAATTTATTTAATAATAAAGAATGTTGTAAACATATATACATACCCACATATTAAAAAGTGTATTATTATTATTATTATTATTATTATTATTATTATTTCTTTCGTTTGAAGTTTAAAATATTATTATTTTGTTTGCAAATTCAGAAGTTGCTAAAGTGAATATTGTTACTTTTCTTTTCACTTTTAGCTATTAATAAATTTGAGTTTTCGGTTTTTGAAAATAAAACATCTCTATACATATTCTCCGTTTACATATAAAATATTTTTCTCATTTTTGAGCACATATATTTGCAAGATTAATCAAGATAATATATATATATATATATATAACTAATTATTTATTAAAAATATGTTTATAATATTAATTAACACTAAAAATATTTCAAATAATATTAGCTCATAATCAAATAATTGTTGCGTTAAAGAAATAGGCGATTTGGGAAAGAGAATTTTCCTAGATTTTTCATGAGTCTTGTAGCATTAGGAGTCTCAGGTAGGAAACAATCCAATTATCTGTCAATTGTCATAAGTCATCTTGTCTTTGCTTAGTTGACTTGGTTGGCAGCTTCCAATTTAAATGCTTCCTCTCATCACAATCAATTTCTTCAACCCATTTTTTTCCTTATTTTATTTGACTTTTAGCAATAAATAATTCTATACTCATTTTTACGTTTAGGTTGCAAGCCACTCTCTCTGCTTGACCATTTTGTCCTGCTTTTGGTGTCATACCTTCATCTCTCATCATGCTATTAACTTAATAAAATATTTTAATGTTTTTATATTTTAAAAAATTTAAAATTTATCACAAAATTTGATATTAATTAAAATATAAATATTCAATTTTTATTATATGTTTATAAATATATAAATCATTTGAAATTTAACATACATAATTGCTATAATAATATAAAATTTAATAATTAAATTAATAAAATTTATTTTAGATAAAATTTAAAATATCATTTTATTGAATTTGACACATCAATTCATCGTACCTTGCACATAACATTTTAAAAATTAATTTAACCATCAGGTGGAATGGCCGATTAAAATCTTTGTTCAAGTCAAATCTCAAAATTATTTGCAAATAGATAACGAAAATTAGCTCGTAGATAGAATTTTTTATAGAAAAAATATTAAAAAAATAAATATATATACAGATAGACCCAACTTTAATATATTTACTCAACTAGACCTGTTTCTTTTATAGTTTCAGAATTTGTGGTTCAAAATTCGTGTCCTTAGACCAAATTCTGACCTGTATTTTGTAAGTTGGCCAAATTTTTCTTACTGAAATTCGATTTCCAGATAACCGAATTTTGGTTAGGTTTTTTTTTTGTTTTGAAATTTGATTTTTTGTTTTTATATAATAAAATAATTTTTAGGTATTTTTTATGTTTATATATTTTGAAATTTAATAAATATTTATAAATGATTAGTTAATTTTAAATAATAGAATAAGTTTTATTATTTAAATTATATTTATATTTTTATATTATGTGAAAATGAATATTTATATTATGTTAATTTGTGTGAAATAATATTTATATATTTATATTATGTGAAATAATAAAGAAAATTATGTTGATATATTTTACTGAATATGTAAATTTGTGTTATGAATTTTTAATATTAATATGATAATATTATTTTGAATAAGTATTTAATTTTTAAAAAAATAAAATTTGTATATCAAATGAATAAAAATAATAAAGAATATACGGGTATATATTTTTTGAGTATTAATATGATAAAAAAATTTTGAATCAGTATTTTATTAAAATAAAATAAAATTTGTATATAAGATGAATAAAAATAATAAAAATATTTTGTTTATATATTTTTTTGAATATGTAATTTTGAGTTATGAATTTTGAATATTAATATGATAATAATATTTTGAATAAGTATTTGATTCTAAAAACATAAAATTTGTATATAAGATGAATAAAAATAATGAAGAATATTTTGTTCATATGTTTATTAAAATATATACTTAATTAATTTTTAAAATTATAGTTATAATATTTGGATATAAAATTTGTTATTAATATTAATAAAATGAATAAAGAATATAATGTAGATATTTATATATATTCAAAAGAAATCATAATTCATTAAATATTTAATAAAAAAATACTTAACACAATATTAATAACAACATTCGTTAGTGATTTTCACTGTCACTATCTCCATAATGATATCTAGTTTCACAATGAGGGCGACGTCTATTACGTGCTAAGTTTTGTCGTTGTGGTTGTTGCTGTAAAAATTCAAGATGAACTTATGGAGGATTATCCAAAAACTGGTTGGTAAAGATACTGCATGTAACTCTGTGCTGAAGATGAAATTGTAAAATCAACTCCAAATAAGTTTGTAAAAAAAAAATCATCCAAAGTTGTTGCAAACGAATGTCTTCTGTCCATTATGTTTGCATTTGGCGTGATATCCAGTGGAGATATTGATGCAATCTCGTGATACGATGGTGTGAAAGTCGTACTAGTGACAAATGTTGTGCTAGTCCTTAACTATTGGTGGCTCTTCCTTGGATCTTGTAGTAGTGGTGGCACAAATAGAAAATAGATATAATTGGCAATGTACCATTCCATGTAATCTCGTGTGTGACACAATAGGCCTAACATTGGATGATCCGTTAATGTCAGGTCACGTCTGTTGCCCCACACATCGATCCATTGAGCATGTCTTGTGATCCAATTTTCATCATGTCTTCCTCTCATGTTAATTGTATGAAGATCATCTAAATTATTGGGTGGAAAAGGGACTTCTTGTAAGAGACAAACCTGTAATTTGACTCTATATAATTGGTGTCATTCAACAATTGCAAAACAAAAGATGGTGGTACATGAAGTCTACATTTGGACATCTATGTATACTTCCATACGCATTGATGTTTACAAGATATGGCACCCATAAAAATTACAAATAAATTTAATTTTGTTAATTAAGATAATATGTAAAATAAAATAAAATAAGAAAAAAATTAAAATATTAGTTATGAAGATTTACTTGATTAGCCTGAATGTGGTCAAACATTAATCTGTACCCCCCACAACATCATTGTGAGGTTTATTCCAGGAAGTTTAGGACTTTACCCCTGCTCCATCTGCACACCAGAGAGTATGTTGATGGATTACTGGAAATTGGTGCAATATATGACATGCGATAACATGCTCAGGACATTAACAGTGATGCACAACCACTCATTGTTTTGCTCCTGACTTTCCTTTACAACATAGCTAAATAAGCAGACCCCCAACTATATCTTCTAGTTCTCTTAAGATTAGTTAATAAAGCTAAATACATAAGATGAACTTTGTTGCCTATTTTGTCAGGCATCAAAACACCTCTAATCAAAGCCAATATATATGCCATAACATGGGCATGAACTTGCTCTTCAGATGGTTCATCTAGTAATGACAACATGTTGTCTCTTAGCCACTTTAGTTTCATCATAGAGCCAATAAGTGTCTCTCCCTTGACTGGTACGATGCCGATATATGTGTCACACACATCCTTCCAGTCAAACATTGTTGGACCAATGATTAGTAATCCATCAACTTTTAGCTCGAGTTGAAGTGCAACATCTTCTAGGGTTATGGTGCACTCTCCAGTTGAAAAATGGAATGTGTGAGTTTTAGGTCTCCACCTCTCGACCAAAGTTGTCACTAGTGCTTGATCCACTTTAAGATGCCTTAACTTTACAACCCCAGCAAAACCAAGTTGTTCAAGAATAGGAACAATCACGGGGTTGGGTTTTGGCATTGAATGACAGAAAGATGAGATCATGTTTTCATTTTTCTGCAGTTATTAACAAATTAGTGAGTAACATTAAACGTAAAAATTGATTTACATTTTAAATAAATAATGATAATGTCTAAAACTTACTGTTCTACCAATGAGGGCAGACCTGTGTTTATTTTGCTTTGACAACAATATTTTTGTGATTGATGAGTAAGTCATTACTTGGGAGTAGATAAAGTTTGTTTGAATTTTGTGAACCTTTTAATGAGAGGGAATCCAATGGTGTCATAAAGAGGTCACCATCACTCGTAAAACGTGGATGGTAGAACATTGAGTCACGTTCTTGGGAGTAGATAAAGCTTGTTCGAATTTTGTGAAGATTTAAATGAGAGAGAATCCAATGGTGTCATAGAGAGGACACCATCAAAAGTACATGTCCATGTACTTTGACTGTGTACCTCTCTGATCTCTAACATTTGACCTTTATAGCTTTTCTGAAAAGTACACACCCATATACTTTGACTGTGTACATCTCTGATTTTGATGATGTATTTTAAATGAATGCGACCAGTAGGTACACATTCATATACATAGGCGTGTACTTGCCCGTGTATGTCTCTGGTTTTAATTATATGCTTAATTGATGTAATCAGTGAGGTACACGTTTATATACACAGGTGTGTACTTGCCCATGTATATCTTTGGTTCTTTTCTTGTTTCAATTCTCAATATCTTTTAAGCTCTCACTTCTTGATCATTTTTTTCTGAAATATGAATAAAATGTACTTAATAATAAATTCTCTCAATGAATAGCTCAAAATAATCTCAATTATCATTCATGAATTACACTATAGGATCAAGTATAGAAGACATTTATCAAAACCCTAAACCTTCCAAGCTTATTCCTTGTTCTTGTGAACCTTCTCCTTCTAAGCTTGTTCATCATTCATTTTTTTCAATCTAAAAATGTCTTCAATCTATGTCATTGTTCACTCTATTGGTGTCATTAACCAATGTCCTAATGAAGGAGTCACATTCACCTCACTATCAACCAAATTAGAACATCTAAAGAGAGGAATGACTTTACAAAGGCTCAAGAAAGTCATCCACACAAAACTCCATCGAGACAAAAATGAAAGGGTGGCAACCATACATTTTTGCTACCCAATTAGACTTGAGGGTTAGCAACTATACATGTGTTGAGTTGAACGATGATGAAGACGTCGAGATACTCTTTAACATCCATGATTCAAATCAACTTCAATCAGGTATAGAATTATATGTTACATTTACTATAAATGTAACCCATGCACCACAACTTTCACCTTCACCTTCCCCTTACCAAACTTACGAAACCATAAATCCATCTTTTCCAACATATGATATGAATTCCAACCTTCAGTCCTACACACAACTTTTAACTATGGACCTCAATGAAATACCCTCCTAGTCATTTGAGCAAACCCTACCCTCTCAACCTCTTAAAGAAACCTCTATTGAAGAATATGCTATTGTAGGTCTCCCAACAGAAGTCTTTGATCTTTTTAGTGAGGACGAATATGAAATCCTGTCACAACAGTAGGATGATAAAGAAGACCTCCTCTCACTTCCAAATATTCCACCGTCACAACCATTAGGATTATACAACCTACCTCCATATTTTCTAGACTTCCCAAGTCAAATACATGAACATGACTCTAAGTTTGGCCATGTCCTCGATCGTGAAATGGTAGTGTATCTGTCTGGAACACTATTTGTTGGCCAACACTTCTTGATAAAAGAACAAGTGCAAGATGCTATAAACAGATTTCACATTATGAATCACTGCACTTACAAGGTGAAGATGTCAAACACAATTAGGCTTGTCGTGGAATGCGTTCACAACGACTATGACTGGAGATGTCGAGCTATATTGCGCATCAAAGAGTAACACTGGAAAATAATGAAGCTTGAAAGGTACCACACTTGTGTTTCCCCATTCATTTCACAGGATTATAACAAGTTAGGATCACGAATGATTTCTCAAACCATTCATGAAATTATTAAGGCTGATCCATCAACACTCATCGCAACTATCATAGCCCATATAAAATTCACGATGGGTTACACAATCAGCTACAGAAAGGGATGGTCAGAAAAATAAAATGCCATCGAAAATATCTTTGGAAATTGGAAGCAGTCATACCACAAGTTACCTAATATATTGCAAGCAATGCAACTGTATATTCTGGGCTTCATCTGGAAATTGAGTACACAACCGGCATACCAGGGTAGCTTGTTAGACAAGGAGAATATGTTATTCAAGAGGTTGTTTTGGACCTTCAAGCTATGCATTGATGGTTTTGCCTTCTGCAAACCAATTGTTTCACGTGGATGGAACATTTTCATACGGCAAATACAAAGAAACTTTATTGGTCGCAGTTGTGCAAGACGGCCACAACAACATAATTCTCATTGCCTTTGCTGTGATTGAAGGCGAAACCAGTGATGCATGATTCTTTTTTTTTTTAGAAACTTAAGGAGGTACATAACCTCGCAAGAGGTGTTGTGCCTCATTTTGGATTGTCACGAGGCCATAAGAAGTGCATACTCCAGAAATGGAAGTGGTTGGACGAAAAACAATTTTGTCCATGTCTATTGCATTAGATACATTACACAAAACCTCATGCGACGATTCAAAAATGCTGCACTTAAGAAAATTTTTGTCAATATGGCTAATTTTAATTTTTTACATACTATATATTATCATTAATATTTTATACACTTGCTTAGCTAGTTATATTAATTTAATTTGTAATTTTTTTTTCAGCATATGGGATGACTGAACCAAGATTCTTCTACTATTACAACATAGTAAAAGATAATAATTTGAAGCTGCACAATAGTTGGACAACATCCCAAAGAAAAAATGGATGCTGACATGGGACAACGGACGATGTTGAGGACACATGACAACAAACCTAGTGGAGTCAATCAATTTGTTCTTAAAAAAATTAGAAACTTGTCATTTGTTCCATGGTCATGGCGACATATACCTGTTGCAATAAGTTCTTTGTTGAAAGAGGCATGGAAGTATATGCAATGATTAATGCTGGATATATGTACTCGGAGGTTGCAACTAAAGCAATTCAAGATGCACCGTTAAAGGCGAACACTCATAGAGTCATCACCTTTGACAGAACAAGTACTAGATTTTTAGTCGGAAAAATACAACATCTGAGACAAATTCGACCCATAGGGAGATTTACAGTACAGTTAGATGAAATGTGGTGTAATTGTGGCAAGTTCCAAAATGTTCACATTCCATGCTCGCATGTAGTTGCTTCATCCTTACACGCACACCACAACTTTGACATTTACATATGTCTTGTATATACCTTACAACAAGTTTCTAAGGTATACGAAGGTCAATTTGGAGGACTCAGACATGAAGACTATTGACCAACTTATACTAATCCAACTTTGTGTTCAAATCCAGAACTGAAAAGAATTTCAAGGGATCGACTCAATTCTAACAAGATAAGAGCAGAGATGAACATTAGAGAACAACAAAATCGTGCAAAAAATTGTTTCTATTGTCACACCCCTGGTCATACAAGGAAGACATGTCCAAACATTGGTTATGTATCTAGTTCCCACCATTGATTTCTTTTGTTGTAACATGTTGTAAAGAAAAAGGAAAACCTAACTTGAGAGGACGTTGCATTAATATATGTTATAGTTTTACTTCCCACGCTATCGACCCTTAAAATTAACTAAATATTTATTAAAATTCACAATATATAAATATATAAACATAAAAAAAAATATAAATTATTTTATTATATTAAAACAAAAAACCAAATTTCAAAAAAAAAAAAACTGACCAGACATGGAACAGGTCTAGTTGGATAAATATATTGGAGCTGAGTCTATCTGTGTATATATTTATTTTTTTAATATTTTTTTTGTAAAAAATTCTTCGCAAATACGACAAATAAAACAAGTCACAAATTTTAAATTTAATTTTTGAATAACAAGTGAATTTAAATTAAAAAAAATACTTAAATAAAAAATTATTATTTAATAAAATAATGTCATTCTTATAACTAAATTGGTATTATATATTTTGCATGACCTATATTATGAATTTAAATAATAAAGGCTAAATGTATGAAAGATAATCGTATAAACTATTTAATCAGGCTCAAAAGATTTTGCTGTTTGAAAAACTATTCTAAAAATTATTAACATTTTGAAAAATAATTTAATTGAATTAGACTTGATGTAGCTACTAACTCAATTGCATTTGTTTATATCTCATATATAAACTTTTAAGTTAATAAGTTATTTATTTATGATACTTAAAAATTAGAATGACTCGGCATCTATATTTTTCTAACATATCAAAGATTATATATTTTGCAATACAATTTTATTTGAGTTAAAACTATTTATATCATAGTAAGATAAATTCTTTTGATTTTTATTTTTACATATAAATTAAAATTTAAAATTTTAATTTTAAAAAATTAAATATATAACCATTATTAATACTTCTCACTTTTTATAATAATAATTTTTTTATTTTAAAATATTTTCATATATATATATATATATATATATTATTTGAAGAAACTTCATTAACTTTGTATATGATTATGAGATAAATAATTACAATTCTTGCGGCCCAAGGAGAATATCCCATGAATGCGAAAGTATAATATTTTGATATGCCAGCTGTGAGAAAAGGGACAATTGAGGGGTAATTTAGTAAATGAGGAGGGGAGGAACCCGTGGTGTGAGGGCAGAGTGACCCCACGCGGTTCCCGTGTATGTCGTAGAGGAGAGGACTTGGCTTCAACCCAACGTCTTTTCTCATTCATACGTACTACGCACTTTCTCCTCTCTTTCCGTTCCTGCTTCTTTTCTTTCTTGTCAACCTCTGATTCATTCCTTTTTTATCAAGCAACCATATTCATATCCTTGCAAATTAAACCCCCTTCAGAAAAATACTAAAAACCACTTTTTGGGTCTCTCTTTCTTGTAACAAACACTGTTAGATTTGCTGGCAGGAACATATGGGTAACTGCATAGATTCTTCAGTTAAAGTGGAAGCAGCTCACAGTTCCAGAACCCCTTCTGGTACTTTTGTTTTTGCTTTTATGTCAACACTTCACTTGCCATGCCTAACAACATTGTTTCCATTTTTTGGAAGGGTATATGACATGTCATGTGCCCATGTCCCTGTTTGTTGCCTTTGTCAATGTTGCTTTTCACTCTTGATTTCAAAGCTATGGATTTTATGGTGTTGTAGATTTTCAATATTGCTTTCTTTCTTGTCTCCTTTTTTGCATTTGGGGCTGGAAGCTTGCTTTGCTGGGTTGCTATTTGTTTGGATTTGAGAATGGATATCTAGCATTTGAGTTCTGTTATTCTTTGAATCACCAAAAGATAACACCGCAGAGACGTTGTATATAATTAATTATTTCTATCCTTAACTTATTATCTTTTCTGTATGCACATGTACCCAAAATATACTTCAAAACACCAATGTCCCCAAAAATATACTTCAATTGATGATGCAGAGAATTGAAGTATATTCCTAGTAAAGTATGTTGTAATCAGTGGTCCTAATAAGTGATTATGAAAAGTTTTGTTGTAATACATAAAGTATGTTGATCTGCCTAAATGGGTTATATATATGACTTATGTGTGTTGTTTGTATTATAAATAAGGTTATTTGCAAGTGAAACGTGCTTTTGTTTGTGAAGTGGCATAATATTTGGACTAACCGTTTTCTTCTTCTGTATGCATCAGGAATTTCAAAAGCTAGTCCTTCCAGCTTATCTATTCTGTCATACATTGAAACAAGTGACGCCTCAAGTCTTCCCACGCCAAGGTCTGAGGGTGAAATCTTGTCTTCTCCAAATCTTAAGGCCTTCACCTTCAATGAGCTAAAGAATGCGACCAGAAACTTTCGCCCCGACAGTCTTCTTGGAGAAGGAGGATTTGGTTATGTTTACAAAGGGTGGATTGATGAACACACGTTTACAGCTGCGAAACCTGGATCAGGAATGGTCGTTGCTGTTAAGAAACTTAAGACTGAAGGTTTACAAGGTCATAAGGAGTGGCTGGTAGGTGTTCTGTTTTCATTTCTAAGCCCATAAAGCGGCTTAAGCATATTTACTCCCCTTCCCCTGCCTCTAGGAAAAGTATATGCTTTTTTATGGATATCATTCATGGTCTAATTGGTGAAGCTTTAATCATTTTCCAGACTGAAGTTGACTACCTTGGCCAACTTCACCATCAAAATCTTGTTAAATTGATTGGATACTGTGTGGAGGGAGAGGACCGGCTGTTGGTCTATGAGTTTATGCACAAAGGGAGCTTAGAGAATCATCTGTTTAGAAGTAAGTTATCATAACCTTCACACTGTTGTCTAGTAATTTCAGTTTATTTTACTATTATCTTAATCATTTTGCCATCAAATATACTCACAAAATAACAAAGATGTCAACAAATATAACTGGTTCCTTAAGAATGATCTTCTATGTCATTAACAAAGGATGTGTCATTCAGGAAAAGAAAAAAGTACATATGTCAAAATTCTGATGTCAGTTCATGGGTTGCCGAAATAGTTTGAGTATGATTTGATAACTATTGCACTTAGGTTATTCCATAGTTGTAGTTTGTATTGTGATGGATTGGTTCACTATATTTGACAGGAGGACCACAGCCACTCTCTTGGTCAGTGAGGATGAAAGTGGCCATTGGTGCTGCTAGAGGACTCTCTTTTCTTCATAATGCCAAATCGCAAGTCATATACCGTGATTTCAAAGCATCTAATATCCTACTAGATGCAGTAAGATCAATGAGAATGAAAATGATGTAATGATTTCTTCATTATTATTGTATCATGCAAGATAATTTCTTGTCTTGCATTGGGTTACAGGAGTTCAATGCTAAACTCTCTGATTTTGGGTTAGCAAAGGCAGGCCCTACGGGTGATAGAACTCATGTCTCTACTCAGGTCATGGGTACTCAAGGATATGCAGCACCCGAATATGTTGCAACAGGTTTGCCTTGGCTTTGTTCAAACTGTTTTTATTTTGCATTGTTTCTAGGATTTGTGATTGCTGGTATTTAATCATTTTGTCCATTTTCACATGCTATTGTCCAAGTCAATCCTATGAGAGTCAACATATTAATCCTATCTATATTTCAGTTTCTTCTGCAAGTTTACATTATAAGTGTCTGATGTTGTTTGTCACACAAATACTTAGGATCAATGGAGTTAATGATTTTCCCTATAATTCTAATCGATATGTTCTTGTCAAAACAGGCAAATTTGTGCCTCAACTTTTGGATTCATTTTGTTTGCTCGATTGTATTACTTCTTATAATAGATCCAGAAGCTAATTTATTCCATGTCACATTTTATGCTAACTATCATAGTCCAATTCATTGACAGGTCGGTTGACAGCCAAAAGTGATGTATACAGCTTTGGGGTTGTGTTGCTTGAACTGTTGTCTGGTCGACGTGCTGTTGATAGAACAAAAGCTGGTATAGAGCAGAATCTGGTAGATTGGGCAAAACCATATTTGGGTGACAAGAGAAGACTATTTCGGATTATGGATACCAAGTTGGAAGGCCAATACCCACAGAAAGGAGCCTACATGGCTGCTACTCTTGCTCTAAAATGCCTTAATCGTGAAGCCAAGGCAAGGCCTCCGATGACAGAGGTTTTAGAAACTCTTGAACAGATTGAAGTTTCAAAAACCAGTAGGAGAAATTCCCAATCAGAACAGAAGAGAGTCCATGTTTCTGTCAGAAAGTCTTCTGCACAAAATGGGTCTCCTTTAAAACTTGCTCCAACTGCATTCCCTTTGCAATCTCACCCACAATCTGCTTATGTACACTAGATTCTGAACATGTGTATATAAATTCCTTACTTTTATGAGGTTGTGTTTTTGACTGAGATGTAATTCAAATTGAATATTAACACATTATTTACACAAGTTGTAAAAGCGTGCCAAGCAGTGTTGTGCATATTAATTTCTTCTTTGGCGTTTTTGTACTGAATATCGGTTGACCCGTAGCTAATTAGACATTTGTACAACTTACATTGCGAGCCAAGAGTTACATTAAAGCTGTCCAATCAGTTGTCTTTACATGGACACATGATCATCATGCAATCATTATTAGTATGTGAAACTAGTAGGAACAAGTTGTTACGCATAAATAATTGGAGGAAATAAACACACAAAGTTAGAAGAATGCAAATACTTTATCTCAACCTTTTCTTTCCTATATATCCTTATTGGTAAAGTTAAGGGGCTTTATGAAGGAGGAATGTTAAAATCATTCAGATGCTACCATGTAATCTCTGATTATGATGTTCCAAATTTTGCTCTAGTTTTTCTAAGCTAACCACAACTTCGGCCATTGTTGGTCTCTTTTTGGGACTACAACAGAGGCAGCTGAGTACTATTTCAGAAAATTCGGAGACTGCTTTGATTGAAACATTGTTTCCAAGGCTCTTGTCAATAACATAGGGCAGCTCCACCTTGTTTCTTAGAAATGGTTTTGCCCACTGAGCAAGATCCCCCATTGCTCCTTCTGAATGTTTTCTGACTGCATCATAGCCGGATAAAATCTCTAGCAGAACCACTCCAAAGCTGTATACATCCGCTTTAGGTGTCAAATGCCCTATAAAATAAATTTAAAATGAGTTGCTTGTACATATAAACTCTAGAACTTTCTGCGTCCATTCTCTTGTTTATGGTTTATTAGTTAATCTATGCAATATAGTTATATCACACACACCTAAAATTATGCAAAAGAAAATAATTACACTGGTCTCGCTTAATGCTGTTGTTGATTAGAATAACACCTATTTTAATTAGATAAATAGACCTATCACCCTCTTGCATCTCCTTTGTTATTTTTAAGGATATTGTGCTTATGGTCTGTATAAACAAATAAGAAAGGCATGCTTAGCTTTAGGAAAAAAAAAAAAAAAAACATCAGATGACAATATGTAAGGAAAATATATACATAAAAATGGGGTTAAATGTCATTTTTTAATCAAGAAGGGTTTAAGTATAATTACCACTAACCTCAAGGAAAGTTCATCTTCTAACATGGACTATGTTGTCTAATATGGATTTAGCTTCTTTAAAGTAGACCAATATGTAAAGTGAGAAAGTGAGGACTAATTCATCGTTAATTTGAATTCATGTATTTTGTAAGCATAACAACTTCAAATTAACAGGAAACCGAGTCTCACTTAATACATCTTCTCCCTTTAGTGAAGGCTAATCTGTATAATATAATGCCAATTTGTGTACTACCAAATAGAGAAATTTCATTTCTACTCCTATTGTTTATAACTTTTTCTACAATTAAGAGCAACTTTAAAGCAAGTTACGTCAATTTAAAAAACTTCGTCTTATCCGATTGCACAATTAGAGTAGTCTTATTTATATGTATTTAGTAAGAAACTGATGCTTACATAAGCAACTATTTCTTGTTAGAGAGAGACCTACTCATACAAGTTTTACAATACTTCATTGAGTATCACTAATAAAGAGGCTGAAAGAAAAAGATGCAAAGGAAAAAGATGTAAATGTGAAATGAGATGATTGATGTGATACAGATTTGGAAAAAAAAAGGGGTTGAAAAACAAAATTGTGAACAGTGAAACTAGAATAACTCTATCCAATGAGGGAGATTTTTAGGACATAGTGTGAAACAATGTACTCACATGGTATTGTTAAACATGTAAAGTCAATTAGGTGGACCATCGTTGTCTTCAACAGGAACATTTAATTCTTTTTAGTGATAACCATGAATAGTGTATTGGATAGTGGAAGACAACAATGATCTACAACAGACTTTGTACATATTGAATGGTTCAGGGTAACAGCATTCTGTTACATTAACATTAAAAGAATTATAGTACCTAACTATTTAATCTAATAAGAAATGAAGCAAATGTTAGGTACCTCTGGTTATGTATTCCGGGGCAAAATAGCCTCTAGTGCCAACAACTCTGGTGGACACGTGGGTAAGGCTACCTTCAGGTCCATATCTAGCCAGTCCAAAGTCTGAGATCTTTGCATTGAAGTTCTGCAATATCATTCTTACCCAATTGGTAATAATAAATATAAAGTAATAAACACAAAGAACATAGCAAATCATGATAGCTGCAACAGAAAAGAAAAATGAATGCTTCTATTTGAAGAGGTAGAAAAGGAAAACATGAAATTAAAAAGCTCACATCATCAAGAAGGACATTGGAACTTTTGATATCACGATGAATGAGAGGTCTTCCATAGGTGTGAAGATAATCCAAACCTCGTGCTATCCCTACTGCTATTTTGATCCTTCTAGTCCAATTTAGCTTTGAGTCACTTTCTTCTGTTCATGCCAAGAAAAAAATAAAATATTTCTTACCTTAATCAAATTCTTAAGGTGAACATGCTGATTCCTCTATTATGAATTTATTCTCTTTTTTCTGTTTTCCTAATCTTTGTCCTTACATAAGTCTCATAGTGCCTTACCTTCCAAGAGATGATCCGCCAAGCTTCCACCAGTCATGTATTCAAAAACCAGCATTCTATGCTCATCCTCATAGCAAAATCCTATGAGCTTCACCACGTTTGAATGATTTATTTTGCTCAAATATGTCACTTCATTCTGCATGCAGAACATATTTTTCAGATGCACGTACATTTTAGTACTCACTCGTAATGTCTTGTGATTATGCTCATAACTCTCTCTAATACACTTTTTGACACTATTATTAAGCAAAATCACTAAATAATGGTGAGCTTGTGGGTTTTACAGTTAGAAAATTAATTCTCCCATTTTCTAATAAGAAACACACGTTCCAATAAAAATGTGATTCAGATTAATTTATACACGTATTTTAATTACATTTAACGGTTAAAAATCAAATTCACCAAAACCAGTTCTACTCAATTTCAAACCAAACAGGCAATGAATATGAATCATTAAATAGAGGATGAGACTCGCATCATTTAGTAAGCTCCACATGAATTTTAGAAGTTGTGTTAGAAATTGTAAATGTCATATGACACCCAGTGATGCGCTAAACCAATCACACAAACACACACATACACACAAAATCACAAGTAACCAGACCAGCCATGTTTCATCGCCTTGTGCTCCTTGCCTCCTGATTATCTTAACAGCTATTGGAAAGCCCTCATTTGATCTTGCAGCATCCATGGTACTGTAAGTGAGATATCCTTTATAAACATCACCAAAGCCTCCTCGGCCAATCAAGTTTTGACAGTTGAACTTTTGAGTTGCATTTTTCAATACATCATAGGTAAAACACTTCAGCTTACATGCCTCCAGCACTATACCCTTCTCTATTTTCAAAACATTCCAGTCCTTTGGAATTGGCATATCTCCATGCCTTTCACCTTTCTTACATTTCCCTGCAACAGAAATGATGATTATTAGATAACTAGCTTCATGCTTTCATCCTTGTTGGAATGAGACAAAAAGAAAAAGACCATAGTTAGGGGATTGGACAATTCCATGGTCTTTTGCATCTTTTCCTGCACCAAAAAATCTTGCTATTAGTAGTATTGAACAGAGAAATTGTTCTCTGACAGAACTCCATAAAGATTAGCACTGCAGCAAAAATTATCTAATACTCTTGATAAAACCAAAGAAGTCCTAATGAAGCAATGATATATAATTATGATACTTCTTCATGGAGTGATATAAAACTATAATTTGTTTTGTAAATGTCTAGTGGAAGAAACTTAAGTATTCAGTGTAAATACTAGTTCATTGGTCATGATGGCATATATATATACCAATTGGAGACTGCACTATATTCACTGGCGGATTAAGATAGTGATTTCGCCAACAATTACCCATGATCCCAATTAACTGTTTCAACTTTCAGAAGGCTTATTTTGAGCATTTTGAAAGCCACAGTGATTTATCCAAAGACAGTAAATGAATGGAGCAATAAAGTCACAATTAAGAAGCTTTGTTGACAATGACTTGGTGAAGTGGACTATGTAAAAGCTTCTAGTCCTGTCATTAAACATTTACAGCGATGCACACAAAGTATGAATTTTGAATTGATTCATGCATCATTTTTGTCACTTGGAGCATAAAGATAAATTGAATGGAAGAACCGAACATCCAATGATCTTGACGCAATAAAAGCAAGTTCATATAGCCGCTTCACATCCTAGGACCTAGGTTTTGCCACCATCACCTTGTGATGACAAGAATAAGATAATATATCTCAATTTTCCATTATTCTATTTCTTAAGCCACAAAGTGAGTTCTAAATTTGACATGTCCCTGGTATAACAATTACTTCAATATTTTTTGTATTGCTGGAGCCTGGAGGGTAGGTGTCTCATTTATATTTTGAGGTATATTTTTTATATGCTTGTGTATAATGAAAAAGAAAAAAAGTGGGTAAAAAGATATGTTTAAGGTGATCTAAGATGGGTAACTCATCTAGAGTTTGGAGACTTGTAGGTACATGACTCACGATCACTTTGTACTTGTGAACTACTAACATTAAGCAATTGCTATGACCATCTTCCGTGATGGACACCAATCTCTTTATCTTTGTATAGGTTTAAAGCAAATTTTAATACTAGGTTTTTTAATTAATAAACATAATTTATTATAATTATTATAATTTCAATTTAAAATTTATTTTGAGTTTTTTAAGATGTAAAATTTATGAAAAGAGATAAAGTCATGATATGTAACATTTAACTCAATTTGTAATGTATTTTCACTTTAATTCTTAACTTAATTAACATTTCATTTTAATCCTTAAAGTTGTATTTGGATAAAGTAATTTTAATTTACTGATTTATATGTATTTGGATAGTAAAAAAAAGTGTTCTTAAAATATTGTTAAAATTTTAATTAGATAATTTGTATGCAAATAAAAAAATATTTTAAATTAATTATGATTAGAGAGAATTTATAAATTTCTTTAGTATACTTAATTTTTGTATTTTTCATTTAAAAATTCTCTCATATTTGATTCTCACTTTAAACATTTTTTATTTTAATTTATATTTTTTAAAATTTAAAATTCTTCATTTAAACGCAACTTAACTTCGTCAGTCATGTTTCACGTCGGTTCTTACAATTAAACATTGTTACTAATCATTAACAAAATTACTTTAGAAGAACATTAATTCCACTCTAACATGTTACGTTTTATTTTAGTCTTTGACATAATTAAAACTACTTTAGTTAAGATTTTGCATAATTAAACATACATACATTTTACGCCTATGTGAAATAAAATTTCACTGTTAGACAGGGAAAGAAAGATTTTTTCTAAGGTTCTCTTCTTTCTAAAATGTTTGCGTGGTCCCCAAGTTAGATTGCAAAGAAAACATTGTGTGTATGTGTAGTGCATGTGTAATTGTATTGTACCACATGCAATGTGATTAGTCATTATTGAAAGATTAAAATTGATAATGTAGAGATGATAACCATTTACATACACTATAGTAGTAACTTTGTTAAAGGAAAGATAGTAAAATTACCTATGAAAGGATAGTTTGGATGTATGGTTTAAGTGTGATAATGATATATTGGCTTAGCATATTGAATTACTGTAAAGAGCTTCGATATCAATTTATAACAAATGCTTATTGACTGGACCTGAGTCTAACTTAGAGAAAGTGTGGAAAGACTTCAATGTAGGAAAGGACCTTATTCTGATGGTGTAGGCCATAAGAGACCTATCATGATAATTCTGCCCAAACTAATGATGGACATTCATGAAAATTTGAAGAATTGAAGAGTCCTAATTGTTTCGGTGAAGAGGACGATGCATTCAATTGCACTTGAAGTTCAATGAAAATGCATGATTTTGGTCACGTTCAATTAGAGCAAGCTTAAAAAATAAAAAAATAAAAAAAATGAAAGAATACACCATTTACCTTAGAAGGGATATTTAGTGAGTGACTATTTACTCATTTTTTAAAATCTTAAAATTCGCTTTAAAGTTAAAATTAAAATAAGATAATTAATGTGTGACACATTAAAATAAAGTAATACTATCAAGAATCTATTAATTATATTTTCGTATATATTTTCATAAAGTTGACATATTCTAACTCGTATGTTTGTGTGTGTGTTTGAGAAGCTTATTTATCATTTTAAAATTTTTCTCTATAATTTTTTTTTTCTAAATTAGAGGTTAATTTCCTTTACCGGATGCTATCCTATTCCAGACAAGTAGGACAATTATAGATGACAAAATACTTTTTTTAAATATTTAACATTTATTAGGACTTAAATGCAAGACCACATCTTAAACTAGAAAAATTCCTACCAGTTGATCCATGTATTTAGTCATATAATTATATATGACACAACTTATTATTTTAAACAAATAAAAAATAAATAAATTAAATTAAATACTACTATAATAAAATGAGTGACTTTTAAATATAAAAAAAATATGTAATTACTCTTAATAGAGCAATATTATTTATTGAATCATTATTATTTAGATAATAATAATAATAATAATAATAATAATAAATAAGAAAAAATTAGGAGCCTAAAATAAGGGCTTTACTCGCTTTAGGATTCTCACAATAAATTTTTGTAGTGTTTATCCCATAAATAATTTCATTCTATGTGTACTAGTGAAGTTTAAACATTATATTAAAAATTATTTTAAATATTTATTTCTAAATAATTAAAAATTTCATTAGTCCACAGGAGTTATTTATCTCATGGGATAAGTTAGAATAATATATTTTTATAACAACTAATTTTGTTTACCCCTCTTCATCGCATCGTTCATTTTATCACAACTTCTCTGTTTTTTCTTTTTATCTTTCTTTAATTTAGACAAACTTATTGTATAATTAGTATTTTTCTTTAAGTAAGAGAATAACGTTTTAATACTGATTTACAAATATTTCGTTATATTTATTTTTATCAGGAAATTTGAGTATTGCTTAAAGAAATTAAGGAAACAAAAAATCCTTTTTTATTTATTGAATGACTAACTAAAAATAAAACAATATTGATATGTAAAACAGAAAGATGTGTGACAGTGAAAATAAAAGTATACATAAAGGTTGTCTATTTTTTTTAAATAAAGACTTGAAATTATTATATAAAGACAGAATGATAATCTATGTTATACACGATATGTACAAGAACTAGGAAATATCATCTTTATCTCTTAAAAATTATACTTCTAATATAACATGAAAATTTTAAAATAAAAAAATAATATTGTGTGAAATTTTTTATAACAAATGTACTATTCTCTTTTGTTTTTAATATATTCAAACTCTCTATAAAGTAAGTAATTAAACTAAATCTCATAATACTCTAATATAAGAATATATATATATAAAAAAAAAGTTAAATACAAACTAAAGTGTTTAACTCGATACTTATACCATATACTAAGTCCATTATATAATCTTGTTTATCACTCACTTATTCACTCAAGACGATATGTACTTCTTTCAACGTGCATTGAAGAGTGAAATTTTCAGGAGGCCAACATTTATTTCGATCATGCAGGAGCTCTCTGTCTCACCAGTAGTTGAATTGCACTTAAAACTTTTTTGGATGGAAAGTTTGAAGTGATATGTCATTTAAAAACACTCCATGATTGAAATTATAAATAATTATAATAGAAAACATTTAATTTTTAGAGATCTGGAGAACTAATATGAACTTGTACTGAAAATCGACAGTGGTAGCAAGCAGCTTTATCCTTGATGATGGCCTATGGTGGTGATGAATTCGTTCATCCTGACAATACGGTACCAGTTTCTCTCACTCGGTCCGGTTACCCTCGGATCATTCCGTCTCATCGTAGGCGTATGATTCTGAAGAAGGATGAGAAAGCGAATTATGGGAACCACAAGGATCGTGAATTATTGATTTTCTGATGATGCTTAAATAATAAGGTAATGGAAAATGACAATTAATCACAAATATAGTCAATAATTAGTATTAGTAATTGCATTAATATCTAATTGCGACTTTCACTGAATTATCGAAAGGCTAACGGATCAACAAGGCGTACCCACTTGAGTGAGCTCTTTCTGCCTATGATGCAAATAGGCGAAAGTGGATCAAATGTTCAGAGAAGAAGACATTCACTACAAGGAAGAGCAACACTAATATGGAATGTGAAGAGATAATTAGTGAATTTAAAGTAGAGAATGCTCATTAATATAAATCCACATGTCAGAATAGAACTTAACACCACCCCATGCGTATAGCAAAAGAGATTAACAAAGTAAAAAATATTAACTATTTACAGTGAACAAAACAAACCTGCAGTTTCATGAAAGAAAATTAAGGCCCCCAGATACGATGATATCTATCTTTCAAATCAGAAAATTAATGAAAATTGACTCCAATGTACATCAATGGGGGAAATCTCGGAGTTCGCATGTTCTCAGTGATGTTTATCAGCATCAAGTGCCACGGGGTTCCCCCAAACACTTCAGTAGGGACTAGCTAGCTAGACAGAGACGGGGATAATATACCCAAATCTGACCCAAAACAGAGTCCTCCATGAAGCTTTAAGCGGAACTCTAGGGGTCACCTAACATTTATGCTTTCTCAAGTGCTTCCAACTCTTCTATGGCTTCCTGGTGTTGCAACACATGCTAACCTGTTTTTTTTATAGTGATGTTCTGTTGTTGTAACTAACTCCATGTTGTTTTAGAAATGAGAAAACCATTGCAAAGCACAAGATTGATAGGCACTGATCCTAGACTTACCTGCAGTCTGGATAAAAAAAAGGGAAAGAAAATGTTCTAGTACATTTAAAGTGGGATTTTTTTTATGTTTTTTTTAATATAGAGGAGGATTTTTGAGTTATGTGTAAATAAAAA